TGACCCAGGGAGCTGGGATCATAAATGGGTATTATTTTAAGCCATTAAGTGTATAGTAATTTGCTGTCTCAGCAACAGAAAACCAACACAGGACAAGGCTGATTCCTCCTCCATAATCTGGCCTCTCAGTTCCTCACACAGGCCTTCCCTGTGTCCCAGTCACAGCCCTCTCCCTTCCCCACCCCGAGTCAGGCAGCACCCCTCCCCACACCCCACACACGATGCCTTTCACTTTCATCTTGCTGACGTCCTGCTGCTCCCCAAGCCTCACACCACCTTCATCTTCCACAAACCCATCCCACCTCCCCACCCGGAACCTGGTGATGTCCTGTCCCACTCCGTGCGGTGCTTTTGAAGTATGTCCCTTCTTCCTCCTAATTCCCGAAAGACCAAGACCTGGTCATGTGCCCCCCTTGTGGCTCTGGGACACTGATCGCTACACGTGCTGAGCCCGTGACAAACGTTTGCTCCAGGGAGGACTGAATCACCGCGATCGGCCCCACCGCGCAGCCTGAGTGCGGGACGCTGTCGCTCAGACGAGGCAAGGCTTTGCGTGGTTCTAGTTAAAATAACCCCCTGGATTTGTATGGGATTCGCAGTTCTCCAAGTGTTTCCAAATGCATGATCTTATGTAATTTTTATCAAAAAAAAAAAAGAGAGAGATCAAACGATTCACTCCTCTTTCTCTTTCTCCATGTTTTCTTATAGAAAAAAAATCCTTCCATTTAATTTTAAAGCCAACAACATCTGGTTCTGAAGCATCCTTGCTTTAGGGGGTAAAAAACACAAAACCTCTGATTCCAACAGTGGGATCAGGAAGGTGAGGACACAAATCCTTCTCCAGGGTAGACGAGATGGCCGAACGGCCTGAGCAAGAGCCTAGGTTATGGTTCAACTTGGCCTCTAATGCAGGCTACAAAAACCATGGCCCTTGACTCCTCCACCCGGAGAACAAATCCTGTTCAGCATCTCCTACGGCTGCGGTGAGGATACACTGAGACAGTCTGGGTCATCTGGCAGCTGTCCAGGGCTACACATACGAGAAACATCAAACTCCTCACCCCAGCCAGCAACAGCCTAGTTATCAGCATGGAAGCAAATCTGCCTGTTTCCGCAAAGAAGGTCCCAGGCTCCAAGATGGGCTGTTTTCTTCTCTTGAAGCTGGTCTTGGCATTCTCTTCACCTGATTGCATCTTAGTCGAAACATTAGTGGCCAAAGAGGGAGGGTCACGAAGGAGTCACTGGGATTTGCCCCAAGTCCTACGTAGACCCAAAGGGGTCCCTGACGACATGGTTGCCTGCATGATCCTCCCATAAGATAATCAGAGCAGAGCTGCAAAGACACCGTTGATGCAAATGCAGAAATCTGGTCCGCTCTTGTGCGGCAGCACGAATACCAGTCAGCATTAACCAGAAGCCCGGCCTCCTACGAGTAACGGACTCTTACCCAAACGCTTCTGCAGCGTCAGGGCTGGATTTAACTTTCATCTACTCTGCACAGCCCTTCGGAGGTTTTAGATCAGACCAGCCAGGAGTGCTTTCAGATTCAGGTCGGGAGGACTTTGCTAGAAAACAGGGCACATTGTCAGGTGCTGATCTGTCACGTGGAAATTCATGACAAACCCAACAAGACCGTTTCACTTGAGTAAATCTAGAGCTGATTTTCCTTGAATACATATATATATATATATATATATTAAATTTTTTGGTTGGGGAGGTAAATTAGGTTCTTTTTTTTATTTTATATATATATATATATATATATATATAAAATTTTTTTTGGTGGGGGAGGTAATTAGGCTTTTTTTTTAATTTATTTTTTTAAGGGCAGTACTGAGGATGGAACCCAGGACCTCGTGCATGCTAAACATGTACTCAACCACTGAGTTATCCCCTCCCCCGAATATTTTTTTATACTTCCGGAAAATGGATGGCTCTTTACTGGTTATTCAGATAAACATGATGATCACCAACTTCCATAAAAACTGCTTGATGACTTTTCTTTTTATCATCAATTTTAGGCCTTGTGTAGACAATGGAATTTTATTTTATTTTATTTTACTTAATTTTATTTTTTAAATGTTTTTTATTTTTTATTATTATTTTTTGGTGGGGGGGCAATTAAGTTTTATTTATTTATTTATTTATTAATGGAGGGACTGGGGATTGAACCCAGGCCCTCGTGCATGCTAAGTATGCACTCCACCACTGAGCTATGTACCCTCCCCACCGACAATGAAATTTTAAAGACATGACAATCTCCTTGTGATACTATGCTTAAATTATGGCTGGAACGTCCAAATCTTTGCACTGTGTGCCAATATGGACTGCATTTTGGAAACATGTATTGGCTAACTCCCAGAGCTCTTGGCTTCTCACTGGCAGATCTGGAGAAGACGATGAATTCTGCTTTAAGGATGTCAAAGTACTGATGGGAGTGGACATTAAAGTAAATATACAAAAACGAGGACTTTCTGTGATTTGGGGGCACCTCACTTAATCTCTCTGAGCATTAGTCTCACCATCTGTACAAAAGAAATCATATTTGCGTTGCATCGTAAAATGAAATAAACATATGACATAAAGCCTCTCGAACTCTAAGTCAAATTGCGTGTAGCTTACTATGATGTCCAAAGTCAACTTACATCTGCTCGAGCACCTTGAGCGGCCTGAGAGATCCTTGATGTTTCTAAACTAGACTCTTCATCTTTAAAACCAGATCCTCTTCCGGAGAGACGTTCATCCCTGTTTGTGCCGACTGACACCCCCACTCCCCCAGCAGCCAAGCTTAGAAACCTGGGTTGTGCTGGAAACCTCACTCCCCCGCCCACTCTGATGCACAAATGATCGGTTCCTTTCAAAACAGGAATCTGCTCAGGTCAGCCCCTTGCTCAAAAAATCAGTGACAATTTCCAGTCGTTCTTGCAAAAAGGGTCGGAACACATTTAAGTCATCCCCAAGACCCTGTCCTATCTGGCCCTGCCCACCCCCTCCGCACTCCAGCCACCTCATTCCCAGCCACACAACCTTGCCTGGCTGTCCCTCTGCTGGAAGCACCACCCTCTGTCCTCATCTCCAGCTCCGAGGCCCCTGCAAAGCTGTCCCGCCCTCCTCGGTGACGCGTCCTGGGGGGAAGGGAGGCCCAGAAACATTGCTCCCCTCACCCCCGTCTCCCCCTGGTTCCTTGGAGCACGATTGCCATTTGAAATGATATTTTATGTGAAATCTCTCCCTGCTTTCTCCATTATAAAGTTCACGACAGCGGTGATTCCATTTCACGCCTGCACTGTGATGTGCTCTTAGTGCCTGAAAGGCCCTGGGCAAGTGAATGAGTAAATCAGCCCATCCTGGGGTTTCCTCCTCCCTGTCTATATAGAGAGACATATTTGTATGTATTTATATAGATACAAAACCCTGAAAGCATTTTCTCTGATGCCGGGAAAGATGAGAAGCAAGGATGTAAAAAACCTTCACCCAGTTTGTCCATATTCCTGGCACCTAGATGTTTCCTTATCCTGCCCCAACCACCTTCCATCCGGCCGGAATGGAAAAAGCGCCCCTCCCGCCTAAGAGCTGTGACACAGGAGCAGAGTGATAACCCTGCTGCTTACTTGCATTCTGTTGTCATCTTTCGTCCTACCTTTGATTGTTTTGCTCGGCAAGTATTGTCATTCACGTGCAAAGATTAGCCCATGTCCTTCACGCTCCTAAGGAGGTTTCTGGGGTGGTGCTGCTGGTCCTCGTATCAAGGGCAAAGGGAGCAGGCTTTCTGGTGTGAAACCGGTGAGAGCCAAACAGTGCTCCCCAGCACACGTGCGGGAATACGGAGGGCCAAACCCGGGGTGTGTGCCGGATTCTAGAATGTTCCCCCCTAAATATTTTCAGCCCCATATCTGCAAAGCTCCTCCACCTCTGCTGATGAATAAGGCAATCAATAGTCAGAGTGAGCGGCGGGTCCTGCAGACCTGGGTCTGAGTCCCACCGCAGCCTTTCCTCAGGCCTTGGGCACAGGCTCAGCTTCCGCGCCTGTCAAATGGACAAACACACGACAGGCCCCAGGATACGATGCTGCCGTGGGGATGAAAGGAGACACTCAGCGGTGTGCTTTCCATGTTAAGAAGCCCGTGGAGGAGGCAGGGCAGATAACCACACTGACCCCAAGGGAGCACGCTCAGTGTCGCAGGGCCAGAGGCCTCCCGGGAGCCACACGGCTGCAAAGCCCCAGTGAGTCCTCAGGGTGATTAAATCCTTGGCAGAAGAAACCCTTCCTAGTCTAGTGCTTGTGTTCTTCTGAACTATAATCCAAGCAGCCAATTGTCCCTGAGCTTTTTAAACCACCAGAAACCTAAGAGAATGCATTCCCTGAGCATCAAATTCTGTCATGTTGAGGAGGTTAACACTTCCACAATCACAGGCAGAGTCTATGAGGCCAAGAGGTGACACCTCCGGCCTCCACCCAAAGGGAGACTCACCAGGACAAAAATCTAGATCCCAGAGGTGCCCGCAGGATAGGGCAGGGCCAGCAGACCCTAGCCTGGGCCCCACCCACCCTGTAAGTGAAGTCCTGCTGGGCACAGCCAGGCGCCCCCCGTGTGCACCTGCCAGGGAGGCCCCAGGGCCCGGAGGCTCTGAGAGCTATGTCTGGTCCTTCAGGAAACAGTCTGCCGACTGTTTACAGACGGCGTCTCACAGGGGAAATAGCCCCGGAGATGTCTTTAAATGCACAGTTCTATTTCCAGGGCTCGCTCTTCACCCTTTCAAGCCCATGAAAAAGGGGTGCTCTATATTGTTTGTGAAGCAGCAGGGGGGCCAAAGCCCTCAAGCCCCCCAACGAGGAATGGACAGCGGGGCCTTCAAGCTGGGAAGGGTGTTTTCAGAAAAACCAGTTTCAGCCCGGAAGCCCAACAGCCCCAGTGCCTTAGACCCGGATGCCCAACGGCCCCAGTGCCTTATCTCCCCCTTCACGAAGCTGCACACGCTTACAGACACGAAAGACTCACGGGGACGTTCTCCTCTTTGACGGGTGGGGTCGGCCCACCGCCTGGCCCCGGTCCCCCCTCCTCTGCCGCCTTCGTACACACGTTCTGGGTCTCCCGGTCACCTGACACCGGCAGGTCGGAGGAGTGTGACTTTGCCTTCAAGCTGCTGGTGAATCCTCCGGACTGGGTTTTCCTGAAGGGAAACAAACAGGGGTTACCCAAAGCATTCTGCACCGGGGACAGCTTTTCCGAAGCTGGCGTGGACATTCCAAGCACGTGAGGGACGGGGATGGGTGCCGTCCGCTTTGTGCTGATGCTATGCTGAGCCCTTTGCACACCAACGCTTTCTCTCCGATGCCCACTGCCGGTTGGAAAGTCACAGCCCGGGGACCTGAATGGAGGCCCACGTGTCTGTTTCCATTTCACCTGCTTACAAAGGGCTGCCCGCTCACATAGGGCTTCCGACACTCGGTGGGGATGGAGGAGTAGGTTTCGGGGAGGCCACCCTGGGCACCCAGCAGAGGGGACCCAGGCCCTGCCTTCCTGCCACCACCTGAGTCATCATCTTGTATCTCCCACTGACGATGTCACTTCCTTATCCAAAACCTCCTGACTGTCCACAGAATAAGGTCCAATCTCCTACATCTGGACTTCGAGGCACTTTAGGGCGTGGCCCTGTCTCCTGCCACTCACCAGTGTGTGCCCCAGACTCACCGTCACCCAAAGCACCACACACGCTCGAGTCCAGGGTCAAGTTCTAGCGTCTGGAGTCAGCTCTCTGCCTGCAGTGTCCTGCCTGACCCTCTGCAGCTGGAAAGCTACTTCTCTTTCAAGGTTCACTTCCGTCATCACCTCCTCCGTGGACCAGAATGATGGGCCCAGGTAACGCTCAGCCTATAGCCCCGTCACAGCGCGCACCGTACCTCGGGCGCCTGACCATTTCTCCTCCTGGGCGGGAGGTCCTTGCTCACCTCTGAACTCCTAGCACCAGGCAGAGGGTCAGCACCCAGGGGCCTGCTACTCAGCGGCCGTCTCGGAGCCCGAGTGGTCCTTGGCCCTCACTCCCACCCCTGCGGCCCTCACACGATTCTGCTGAGGCCCTTGGCCACTGGGGAATCGCACGTCCACATCCAAGTGGGGAAATGAAACCACCGAGTTGGGGTGTAGTGAAAACAGAGGGAGTCACCGGAAGCCTAAAGGAGCTTTCCAGAGGCCCGGAGTCACTCTGTGCCCTCAAGCCCCACCTGGCTCCCCGGTCCCACCGGGCACTGCGGGGGTCGGGTGGGCGCTCACTGCTCTGCGGACCTCATACCTGAGCTCTTCTGCCTCCTGCTCCGCCTTCAGCCGGGCTCTCTCGGCAAGAATTTCATCACAGAGCACGTCGTAGGGTTTGTCGAGATGGTGTTCGCCCATCACCCAGACCCAGACTTCCTTGTCGGCTCCCAGCTTCCAGTGAACAGACTTGCCATTCTCTGCAGGCAAAACAGAACTCGGTAGAGCACAGGGAACTCTAGTCCATACCCTGTACTAACCTTTAATGAAAAAGTGATACGAAAACGATTATGTGCATATATGTGTGCCGGGACATGACGCTGTGCAGCAGAAACTCACACATGGTAACTGACTACACTTCATTAAAAAAAAATAAATAAATTTAAAAAACAGAATTCAGATTGAACAAACATCTTTGGTCATGGATTATTATGTTTTCCATCATTAACGGGTTTAGAGTCTTCAGGAGAAAAGGAAAAATTAGACGTGGTGAAGCACGTCCAGCCTGCTCGGAAAAAGTGGTGTTTCCAGGGGCAGTGGCAAGGCCGGGAGGCTCTCGGGGACAGTGGGTGGCAGCTGCAGGACGTTTGCTTTAAACTATGATGAATATGGGGTTTGAACGTGCCCATTTTACTAGTGAAGACTGCAAGATGGGAAGAAAGCAGGCGTTGTTAGCGTGATCCTTTGGTCACAGCGCCAACATCAGACGCCAGAATCTCTGAAATCAGCCTGTAACCCGGCTGCACCAGGGTATGGTGCGTTCGCTTTCTCTACTGGCCTCGCTGCTGGGTACAAGGCACGCACTTCAGAGTTAGACTGGCTTTAGTTTACCTCCTCACCTGACACTTAGCTGTGTGACGTGGACACATTGGTTAATCCCTCTAAGCCTCAGTTTCCTGGTCTGCAAAATGGGACTACTAACACCTCCGATGGGGGACTGCTCTGGGGAGGAGGCAGGCAGCGAGGCCAGGCCCTTCCCCCGGGGTCCGCCACTCCCCGTGCATCACTGTGCTGCTGTTTGTGTACGTGGCTTCTCAGACATTGGCCGGCCTGTGAGAGGTGTCACTGTCGGACTGTGAGAGCAGGGAGCTACTTGAATAACCGTGTTTACAGCTGGTCGCAGGGGTCGTGTTACTTTCATTCTATTCCTGCCCCGCCGCGTGGCCACACAGGTCATGCTCCCTGAAACCCGGGGCCGGGGGACCGTTCCCAGGAGAGGTCAGGATGCAGCCCTAAATCTGAAGGCGCCAGAGGGGACCCAGCTGGGCACGTTCAAACCCCTAGTCATGATGCCGGGGCCTGGGGACCCACACTCGTGGGTGGTGGTGAGTGTGTGACCCGGGGCAGCTGCTGGGACATAGGCCAGGCCATGGACACGTCACACGAAGTAAAGCATCTCTCTCCACGTACTGTTGTGGACTCAGGATACATCAAACAAGCAACAGGTCAGGGTCAGGCATGTTCTTTCTTACGGTGCCTTTCAAGCCCCTCGGGGGGGCGGGGACAGTGTCCTGGGGCACATCGATCTTCTGAAAAGGCTGTGTGGGGGGAGGTCACAGTCTTCACCGTAACAGGAGCCAAAGGTTCTTGCAGAAGGAAGCGGCCGGGCCCTGTGCTCGCAGGTGGACACAGGTGTGAGTGAAGGCGGGTCCCAGGTGCGCCCAGGTGCGCCCTGGTCAGGGTTGGGGGCAGTCAGTCCAGGCGCGCCCTGGTCGGGGGGCAGTCGGTCCCAGGTGTGCCCCGGTGGGGTGGGGAGCCCGCCGGTCCTAGCTCATTTGGGGAAATGTCTGAAGTTTCATGCACCATAGAAAGCTGGCACCCCTCAAAAAACTTCCTTTATTACGTGCGCTCTCTGCGCAGCTAAGAATATTTTTACTATGTCCACCTCTCAAGTTGCATCAAAATAACCCTCCACCAGTGTTTCTGGTACCTGGAGGGAGACAGCACAGGGGACAGTGGTGGGGGTCGGGGGGAGCAGGCAGGAGGGTACCAGCGATCCCAATGGCTCTGCTCAGGACAGCGACACATGCGTCCCCCAAACTGAGTCAAAAGCACCGTGGGGGTGTGGGTGGGGGCATGACTCTCAGAGTTGAGGTGCTGAGAAATCACAGAAACGCTGTCAACACAGGAGGGGCTTAGAACTTCAAGCTGGGCAGATGCAAACGAGAAGACAGGGTCCTGACACTTCTACGGGAGGGGGTGTGGAAGATAAAGAAGTGGTGGCTTTGGGGCGAGAAGAGAGCAGATTAGGTACAACATGTCAGAGTTAGTGGCCCGGACAGGAGTCTCTGCTGTGATGATTCTTCATCCCAGGAGAAGAAACTGGGAGGTGGGGGGCAAGTTCAAGGAGTTGCACGCAGCTCCCTGACCCCGAGGTGAAGGGGGAGGTCACTCTAGTGAAGCGAGCCTCAGCCTAGGGTCCTCAGCTCTGCACCAAGAGGAGGGAGGGCTAGCAGGGCCTCTGCGTAGCTCATTCCACAAATCTGAGTTCCGGGATGTGGGATGCAGCATCCTCCTGCAAGCCACCCAGAGCCTGCGAGAGAAAGAGCCAGGCACCAGCTCACTTACGTAATGAATTTTATCACGTATCTACTATGTACCAGGCACTGAGGTGCACATGCAGAAACACCTACGAACAAGACAGACCAGTTCCTGCTCTCGGGGGACTCACATGCTAGTTGGGGGAGGCAGGCGCTGAACAACTAGTTAGTTATAAAAGGAACACGACTTGGGGAGGGGTTCTGAAGGTGCCAGGGGGACACACACTGTAACCGCAATAGATTTTAAGTCCAGTGAGGAGTCAGAGGGAGGAGGATGCTTCGGGAGGACGACAGAAAAGAAATAGTAAGTTCCCTGTGTTCAGTTTTGGAGGATGCGTAAGGAATTCAGACAGAGAATAGGGCTGGGTTTGATGCTGGATGATCAGAGATCAGAGAAAGGAATCCATGGGGGTCCCTGGGGAGCTAGGGTCTCCACCAGAACTAAAGAAGTCAGGGGGCCGTGTGGCACAGATCCCAGACACCAGGCTACAGGATTTAAATTGGCCGCGTACTGCACAAAGACAGAAAGTTGCATTAAAATCCCAGTGTTTGGACCAATTCTTTATGGGACCATGCACACGTCACTTGATCTCGCCAAGCCTGAGTTCCCTCTCTGAGGAAACAGAGGCGATGAGCCTGAGCTCACAGACCTGTCACATGACAAGCGCTCAGAAACGATTCGCTCCACATTCTTGGTCGGAGTGACCAGCCAAGAGTCCACGAGTCTAAGACCTGACACCATAAAACTCCTAGAAGAGAAGCATTCTCTGCCATAAATCAGAGGGGTGTTTTCTGAGATCAGTCTCCCAAGGCCAAAGAAATAAAAGCAAAATAAACTAACAGGACCTGGTCAAGGTTAAGGCAAAGGTACCAGCATAAGGGATGTGAATGGGGCAGGACTGCACCTTGTCCTAACTTAATGCTCTCCAGGCATTCTGGGTGTCCTGTCTGCTTCCCCTTAGAATGACGTGCACTCTTCAATCAGAGGACAGTGGGAGAGGGACCTTTCTTATTTTTTTTAATAGCGCTTCCATTTAACTATGAGTTTGTTTCCCAGTTCTTGAATCACGTTTATATGCTGTGGAGCTCTCATGTTCACTATCTCAGGGACTCTTGAGAACTTCTAAAACCAGCTTTCTGGAACAACAGGTCAGTCCTGCTCGGCAGCACACCACGAGGAAGCCCTGTGCAGACTCACGTCCACGCCTCGTGACCCTCGCAGAACCGCGGATGAGGCAGGGCTGCAAAATGTCACACAAAATCAGTGATGTGTCACACGTGTTCTTGGCAAGGAAATGGCCAGGCTATTCCAGCCTGACGCTGGAGTGTGAACCCTGCTCACATGACACTGCACTGTATTTCACCCCGAGTGGCAGGCCCGCAGGGGAGCAGGGCGCACAGTCTGGAGGTGGCAGTACAATCATTTCCTCGGGTGAGGCCAACGCGACTGCTGGGGCTACGACTGTGCCTCGGAGGGTCAGCATCTGGTCTCCATTCAATTGGATCCACTTGGAATTCTGCACAAGCACGGTAAGAGGTGAGTGTCTGAGAGGGTGACGGAGAGCCGTACACTCTATCCCCACAAGGAGAAGACCACAGACTCAGAGAACAGAAGCCAGAGCATGAGCACCGGGGCCTCCTAACCCATGACGTACTAAATACGCTGAGGACTCATGAGGGCTGAGGTCAGCAGGGCTCCTGCCAGTCCCAGGCTGCAGCGCATCCACATGCTCCCAGTGTCCCAGCTACTGCCCAGCACTCTGGTCGCTCCTCTAGGACACCCTACCTCCGATCCAGAAACCAAAAGACAAATGCCTGGACAGCTGGGCCTCCAGGACTCGGGTGCTGTGGCCATGACCCTTCTGAGCGATGCCGCTGCCTCGTCTGCCTTTAAACCCGTAGAGCATCACCCGAGGCCATTCTGAACCCTATTTTTCCAGGAGGAAATTAAGGCTCAGGGAGGGTAAGTAACTTCCCCAAGATCACAGAGCTGGAACCAGAATTCAAAACCCACATGTGAGACTGGAAAAACCTGCACTGAGAGCAGCCTCTGATGCCCTGTCCGCACAGAAACACTTCTGAGAGCAAAACGGAAAACCACCCACAGGAATGACAGGAAATGAGCAAGCAAGCAAGGAGAGGCGGCGCCAGCCCCACGTGCCTTTTAACGAAGATCATGGCCAGTCCTGTGGGGACCTCCTGACGTCAACCTGGGTGACAATCCTGCAGTTACCAACACAAGCCCATCTTTTTAGACTTTAATAAATGTCAATGCTTATTTTAGACACAAAAGCCCAGAAAGGAAGATGGAGAACCGGCATGGCCCCACGCGTGGTCCAGGGAAGCAGGCGGCGGAGCAGACCAGGGAGACGGTGAGTCAGGAGAGAGGCCAGCTGGGTCCAAGGCTCAGGGAGGCGAACGGGCAGGGCAGCCCGTTACCACCCACACATGGTGCTCACCACCTGGGATGCCAAGCCCGTGACACTGTCTAGCCCAGAGTTAGGGGCACAGGTGGGGCCGGGACCTGCGGCTCAGAACAGACTTGGAGTAGATCTGGACCTGAGTTCGAACCCTGACCCCACCGGTGACCCACACCAATTATTTTTTCCAAGTTTGCTTCTTTATTTGTGAGAATAAGAGGGGAGCAACGTCTGCGTCTCCGGATTCTGGTGAGGATTAATTGAAATAACATAAATATAAGGCTTCTGCCTGGCACATCCTAACAGACCAGCACGCTGCTGGAGAAAAGCTCCATCGGACGGAGCGGGGTGGGTGGGGTGAGGTCAGGGGTAACCGGGGGCTCCCAGGTTTCTGGCTTTAGTGACTTGGGAGTGGTCAGGGCCACAGATCACAGTGGAGACCAAGAGACAGGACTCAGCCTGGGGGGTGTGCAGAAATGGGGGGACTCCGATGAACTTGGTTTTGCATCAAGCTTGCAGGGCTCGAGGGTTTTTGGAGTGGAGATGCTCCTTAGGGGACCAACATGGAGACCAAAGCTCGGGTGAGAGGTCGGCTTTGCAATACGGATGTGAGAGTCACCGCACATGGTGGTGATTATTTAACGAGATAGCATATTTCAGCCTGGAGCGCAGGGAGGGTTGGACACGCCCGCAGCTCAATCGGCACGGGCTGGTGCCACGTTTACTGCCTAGAGCAGTGCTGTCCACTCCCAGCTCCACCTGTAACTCTCCATTTTCTAGTGGCCCCATCAAACAATCAAAAGAAACACGTGAAATTAATTTTAATATGCTTTAGTTTACCCAAGATACCCCAAATATTATCCTATCAATGTATAATGAATATAAAGTTATCAGTGTGATGTTTTGCATCCTTTTCTAGCTAATATACCCGTCCTGCCCACCTCAGTCCAGATTAGCTGCATTTCACGGGCTTGACAACCACCCATGGCCAGCGGCTACCAGACTGGACCACGTGGCTCAAGCCCTCTCATTACCTCTTCCCCCAGCAGGCAGACGGGTCCAGAATTCTCTAATAATCATATTTTCCCCACTGCGTTTTGAAATGATTTTCTGATGTATTCCTGAGTTAAGTCCATACTTCTGATTGCTTTCAGCCCCTCCTACTTTAGCTGGAAGATGACTCAAAGGAGGACAGGTGCCAGGCATACACAACATGCCTGTATCACTAAAACTCCAGGGCTGCTCTTTGAAAACTCACCACGGTAGGCTGGAGAGAGAAAGAAACGACCAGAGGACAGTGAAAGAGCTGCTAAGTGATGAAATGGAATGGTGAAGAAACGGGGTGGACAAAAGATTTATTTAGGAGCCAAGAAAAGGACAAGCTCAAAGCCACAGCCCAGCCACGAGCCACTAAGAAAAAGCAAGACTTAGGTCAGCCGGGGGCAAGCCAGGCTGGGGGTGCAGGCCTGGGGGAGACAGGGGCACACAGGGAGGACTCAACACGCAGCCTGGGGAGCCCCAGCCACGGCGACACTGCCTTGTTCTCTCGGTGGATTGATCATCAAAGACAGAACAAGACGAAACAGAGGAGGCCTGTCTATAGGAGAAGTGGAGAAAGAATCTCAAACTGTCCCCTTTTCTGTAGTCAAAGAGGAACCACTTTGGTGCAAAATACATTGCTCCGGCTGCTAAATTTAAGGGAGAAATACACTTCTGATGTGAAAACCTGATAGAATGTTTGCGGTGTAAATCAACACAACTTTTTTTATGATCACTTACCTAATAAAGAAATACAGTTCAGAGAGATTCAAAACCCTGCAAAGGAAGAATTTAAGCAAAGACACGGAAATTACTGTCTTAAGTCATCACGAGGAGACAAGTCAGCCAGCAGAAGGGGCTCAAAGCCTTACAAAGAGCCCGGGCCATCAACTGTGGGGGCGGGAGCCCTTCCACTGTCACCAGCCCTCAGTCACCCACCACATCTACGAGCTACGTTCACAACCAACATGGCGCCAGGAGGCCAGGTGGCGCCTGGTAAACTCTGACTAAAGGATGCAAAGAGATGCTGGAACCAGCTCGGAAAGACTGAAGGGTCATGCTTCAGTAAGAACAGGTTACCGTCGAAGGAAAAACAAGTATCTATTTGGAGAGTGTGGGGGACTGTGAAATCCCAGAGGTCTGGGTACAAACTGGTGGTGTGACCTTGAACTGAACTCTGATTCTGAGGTTCCTCACCTGTGATATAGGACAATTAACATCAGCTTTGCAGGAATGTTGTGAAGATGACATACAATGTATGTACAAGTGCTGTGCGTGGTGTGACCAAAACAGGTGCTCAATAAGTAGCTGCTATTGATAATAATAAAAGGGAAACATTTCCGTATCACTAGAAAGGCTTAACTGGACAAAGGTTTTACTAAAAGACAGTACAAGGTAAAAGGCACTAAACTGTCTTCTTGTTTGAGTCTGCGTGGATGCCAGCACACAAGTGAGATGCACTGTCCTGATCTTTGAAACCCTGAGTGGTTTGATCAAATTTAATTTTTCCTGGCTTCGTGAAAGATGAGGAGAAATTGATCTGGAATGCCTCTCTGTTAGTGACCTTGAAAACCGGGTTTTTGAAAAACAACATAGTTATTCTTTCAGAGCAGAATGTGCGGGTAGGGGGAGTTCATGTCTGCTTTTCCACGTTCTGTGTGTGTATATGCTTTAAGCCTGCTGTACAAGGAATTCCTCCCCCGTGGTCCCAAAAGGCCCTGTCAAACTAACAAGGATTCCTTGGGTCTGAAAGAAGCAGTGCATCTGAAAAATGAATTCACATTGAAAAGATGAGTATTATGAGTTTTTCCCCTGTAGCAGTATTTGCATGTTGAGAGAACTTCCCTAAAAAAAGATAACTCAAAGAAAAATCTCTTAGAGTCTAGGAAATGCAAACACCATTGCTACAAAGATGCTCCCACAAAGACCTCCTTTGCTGGTAGCAGGATACTGGGCGTCTGTGACAAAAGGGGACAGAAACCTTCTTTAATACCCCTCAGGTCCAGCTCCACGGGTAACTTTTCCCTGCAGCTTCAGGTCAGTCTGATTTCAAGTAAGAGATCTGCTTCCAGCCTCACAACTCCACGGTAATCGGGTGTGTGTGTGTGTGTATCCGCGCAAGCGTGGAGACTTCAAGTTGATAAATTGCACTATTAGCATCTCTGTAACATCAAGGGCCCACCTGCCAAACTGGACCTCGCACCCGCCTTGCTTCTACTGGTGTGAAATGTACAAACAAAGGGGGGCCGGGGGAGACATTCGACGCGCCTGCGCGTAGGCCATCCGGGCTGCGCGTACCTTTCTTTGGTCTGGATTTCACTGGCAGGCCCTCCTTGTTTTCCATTGCTGCTTCTCTCTCTTTCCATCGGCGGATCTGCTCCTCCCTCATCTTGAAGAACAGGATCTGTTTCTGTTCTTCGCTGAGCTCTGCCAACAAGTCGGGATCTATGTACATCTCCGCCAGTATCTGTTTCAGCATCTTGGCCGGGTGGGGAGTCTTTTACACCTGCGGCCAAAGGTCTGGAAAATGGCTTCCAAGTGTGCCTCGACCTGGGCTGGCCCTTGGAGGCACCCCGCGGACCTTCCCCGGAGACTTGGGGGACTGGGAGAGTAATTCAGCAAACTGGCTCCGGGTTCCTGGCCCCAGGCATCCCGTCCCAAACGCCGTTCGGGAATCTGCAAAGAGCAACGGCCAAAAAAAGTCAGCAGTGTTCAAACGTGCAGACACGGGGCGGGACAGGTGCATGAATAGAACGTGGAGGAAATACAGTGTCATCTTTCATTTCGGGGAAGAAGAGAAGAAAGCTGAGCTAGTTTTGTTAAGACTTTGCATAACCTCTAACCTGTAATTTCCTAAGATACTTTATCAAATAAACAAAACAGACCCTAACTTTTTACGGGTCAATTTCAGGGAAACAAATGAAAAAAAAACCCAAAAAACAGAGGTTTGGCCTTCGTCCAACTAAGCAAACATACCACTGCCTCAGAGCCCAGCAAACTACCGAGTGGATGGCTAAGAACAGAGATCAAGAAACACAGAACAGAGAGAAATGAAAAGGCTCTCTCCCACACAACTTATTTCAAAAGAAAATACCATTTTTTAGATATCAGAGATTTACCGCCCCCAAAACCCAAACCAAACCAGAGTCACGCTTGAGGAAGGTAAAAGAAGAAGTAAAAATTAGACCACAACGCCATTTTCTCATTAAAAGTAGCACTAAATAACCAGAACGCTGTACTTTCATCTTCACAAACGCCAGGTTCAGACAGCTCACTAGAACCATGAGAACAGTGCAGGTGCAGGAGGGAACATTCATGTACATTCTGGAAGGTCACCAGGTTGGAGGTGTACCTCTTCCAGATAACCTAATGTAACAAGATCTAAACGTACACACCGGATAATCGCAGCGGGGGCGGAAAGGGGAGGTGACCAGCTTCACCACAAAGGGTCCTCGCTCTGTAAGACGGTTCCTTAGTGGGAGAAGCCTTGCAGCTGAGCACACAGGTGGTTTCACAGGGGGTGCCAACTCCACTTCCGTCTCATTCTACTTTACATGTTCCTATTTGGTCTGTTTTTTTTTTTTAAATAGCAAACATTCATATTTGTGTCACCAGAAGGAAATAAGGTATAGATTTCCATTCTGGAAAATAATAGTTTACTTTGTTGCAGTAGCATCGGATACACCCCAAAAGCTTATTTACGGTGACTTTTCAGAATCACCTGTGTTCTGAGAAGCTGACTAACCATTTTGTGCTTTCCATGCCTCAGTTATCTCACCATCGAGCTAGAGATACGCCCTTTCAGATATCTTGTTTCTCCCAACTAAGTCCAAACACTCAAACTTCAGATTAGTCACTTCGCCAACCCTTGACTTCCCAGTTCCATCACCAGGTCACTCAGCAGCCAGACTGTGACGCCCCTCCCGCCCCCCGGAAGCCCCCTGCCACTTACCCCCCTTCCCCAGCTCCTCCTCCTGGTCTTCTCTTTTTTGGGGGGTGATAATTATTATTATTGTTGTTGTTGTTATTGCTATTATCATTTTATTTAACAGAGGTACTACGGATTGAATCCATGACTCTGTGCATGCTAAACACGCGCTCTGCCACTGAGCTCTACCTACCCCCACCCCGCTTTTGAGACAAGTGTGATCAACAGCCCAACAGCCAGGGTACCCAGCGTGGTTCGCATACATAGCACACAGTTAGGTTTACCAAGCAGCCATTGTGTCGCAGGGACCTTTACTGAGGCTACTGCGATCCCTGCTAACTGCATCCTATAATCCGCAGCATTCAAAGGGAACACAGTGTTAAGGGAAAATCTGAAAAGAATGAAAGGCGCTGTCTGACTCGGACTCAGTCAGGCATGCCCCTCCCAGGCTCCCTTGCTAGCTTTGCAGTTTGCTCCGAGGTGACCCTAGAGGGCTCTCACCCCCAAAAGAACTGATGTCCTGTGCTGCTTTCTTGACTTCGGGGTCTAATAGCACCTCCAGGGCGGGGCCAACTAAATTCACACTTAAGAGAGATTTCTGGAGGCCAAGCCTTTGTCTGCAGGTGACAGAAACACCGGAAGAATGTAGTTCCTCGGCACCCTTGACGCCGGTGCTCCGAGAAGTGGTAAGAAAACCAAAGTAAAGGAGTCCTTGACATTCCAGTAAATGCCCCGTCCGCTGGCACATTCCTTGACTCCAGGGGTTGACTTTCACAGAAGTGAAATATGGTGGAAGGGGAGCCGCCCAGTGAAGCTGGAGGCTTCCGCTCTGCTCCCCACTTTGAATTGGGTGACTCCCAGCAAGCGTGATGCTGGAGGTAGGGCCTAAAAACGAGTGCCAAGTTCACCCCTCCCCCACCCAGGGTACCCGTGGTAATAAGATGCTGAACCAATGGTGCCTGATGCAGGGGCAGAAGCCTCGTCCCTGTACCTTCAAGTGAGCTGGGGGGCGGGGCAGGTATGAAGACCCCACTGCAGGCAGGCCGACAGGAAGTGACCCGGATGGGACGCTGTTGCCACGTTACCGACCAGGCGCCAGTCTCCTCTGTGCCCCTCCCACCACCCCTGGGGGCAGCACAAGGGCACAGCCTCTCCCAGCGTGAAGGGCTCCATCACACCCCGGGGAAGACAAGTTCCAGCTCCCACAGCTTCCATTTTATTTTGTTTTGCCTTTTGTAGCAAACGTGGATTTGTGGCAGTACAGTTAACTAGCCGGTCTCGAAGGAAAGACACTGGCTTCCCCGTGTCCTTAGAGACAACTTGGGGACCCAGCTGACAGTGGTCTTGTGGCGTAAGGCTGCCGAATAATAAACCCACCACTCTAAGGCTGTTGATCCCCATGGGTATGACTTAACTGTCCTCAAACACAGCTCAGGGCGCTCACGGGGCTCCCAGCTCTGCCCCACCCCACCCCTTGCCCCGCCCGGGGCTGTATCTCTGAGTGTCACCTCACTTCCCTGGACTCACTGTGAATCGAGGTTCTGAACTGTTAATCTTTGTAATCAGATGACTATGTCACACAATCTAGTGTGGGGCCAGAGAGACAAGTTCGTAGAGGAAACAAAAATGAGGAAATTAACTGGCCAGGGTTTCCCCACTTCCAGTCCCGGACAATCAGTGCTGTTAGTGATTCAATCACCAACGACTTCCCCTTCACACACTCCACCTTCGCAGACACAGTTATCCAAAATCCAATAAAGAGGAAAACTCTGCTAGCTCCGTTTTCCTCTCGTACAGCACTTTTCTTAAAAGAGAGAAAGGACAAGCAGCAAGCCCACATCTCCTCTTTTCTCCAAAAACAAATTTCTAAAGGGTCACAGGGTCAGGTGCCCTCCAGGAAGCCCGCAGATGTGGCCTGGCACTCACACCTGCCAGAGCCACTGTTCTGTAAAAACAATATTTGTATTTTAAACGACTCTGAGACCTTAAGAAAAAGCTGGAGAGACAGCCTACATTATTTAAAAAAATCATTAAAAATATTTTTAAAATCATAAAAAAATACTGTAATATGGACAGAATAACTTCAATGCTAAGAATTCAGCTTGAATTCGAACTCTTTTAAAACAGCCATTCAGTTATGTTATGTAACTTTACATCATGCATGTGTCTGCGAAAAGGCTATTTTGGGGCATAAAATGAATTAACAGAGGTGACAGCAACTTTTGTAATTGTTTACCGCTCTTCAGAAATTTGAAATCACTGTGCACGGACCTCTCCAGAAATAGCACCCATGCTAGATCTATGCCTGCGTATGCCTCCACTTAATTATTCTAAACTTAAAAAAAAATTGTGTCCAAGTCGTGTTTCTATTAAACAGGTGATCAGACAAAGCCTTTTTTAGGACGTGAGCAGACTCTCAGCTGAGAAAGAGGAGCTCGCTCGCTTCTCTCCGGTGATTCTTGGGGAGGGAAAGCCAACTCTGGGAAAACCCCGCGCAGGGACTGTCGCTGTCCCCTCCAGCCCCCCCACCCCCCACCCCGGGGGCGCC